TGAGTTTGAGTTCAAAAGGGTGTTTTGTTCTTACTATTGCACATAAACACCTAGAGTTACACCATCCTTGTTTGCTGAGGTACTAGGAGGTTGTTTTTAAGGTTCTTGAGCTTGTTTTGATTAGAGAGAGTTGCTAGTCTTGTGTTCTTGAAGTTGTTTTTCAAGGGTGAGTCAACTTGCTTTAGATACCCCATTTTTGCTTAAGCTTTTACGCATACTTCTATATTGTTTTAGGCTTGGCTCTAAACTAAAAAAAGCTCTTATTTTGTATGCTTGTTATTGTTGCTTAAGGTCATTTTTTGGTTAGGGGTTGTTTACCCCCCTCTTAGGCCTTGTTTGGATTCATTTTGTGCCTTTACTTTTGAGCTTTGGTGTCATCTTATTTTGACCTTCCCACCACTGAAATCCAGAGGATTTTTAGTGGTGGAGAAGTGGTTTTGAAGTCTTGGATAGAGGAGGGACACCCCCCTCTCCTTGTGTCTCACATGCTTGTGTTAATGGCTTAGTGTGGTAGCATGTATGCTCGGTTTGTTTTCGCACCATTTCAGTAGGTATTTAGTGTTATTTTAGCATGATATACCTCTATTTTAAGATGGTTTAGTCAGCTCTTGCATGCATCATACACTTGCCTTGCAATCCTCTTATTTGTCTTAACATACATCATGCACTTGGACCATCATGCTTACATGTTTTGACTTAACTTTGAGAAGTTTTTTAGTCTTGTTTTATCATGCTTAAGCTCTATTTGGTGTTGTCTTAGCCATGTTTGCCATGCTTTGTATAGCCTCCATGCATTTTAGCTTGTTAGCTTCAGGTATGTGAGTCACTTGCATGCTCTATTTGGGTCATTTCAGTGATTTGGCATCACTTGTCATGATATTTCAGTCCATATTCCATGCTTGTAGGCTTGCATTTGCCATCCTTTTAATGCTTTGAAGAGTTGTTGTTTTGTGCTCCATATTTGGACCATTGCATATGCCTCCATGATTAGGTCTTTGGCATGCCTTCTCATTGGGTTTTGGGGCTTCTTTTGGCATATTATAACTCTGATTTTATTGGCCTAAGTCATGCCATGTTCGATTGTAAGAGGTGTAGTGCATTTGCCCTTTTGGGCCTTGTATGTGTCTTGTTTTGTGCTCACCTTTATAGCATGTTTTGGCCTGATTCCATGCATGTTCTAGCCTTGTTTTGGTCTTCCCTAGGATTGTTTTGGGACACCTTGGCCCTTTGGGGCTTGGGTGACACGGCCTTGAGGTAAGTCCTTTGGCTAGCTTTGAGCTTTAAGTCCATTAGCATGCTAGGCTTGTCTTGTTTAGTTGATTTGGCATCATTTCTCATATGATTTCAGAGCATATCGTATTGTTACATTCTCATGTTTACCATGCCTTGCTCATGTTTGAGGATTGTGCATTGTTGCATAGTGTTTAGACCAATATATGTACATAGCTGTTTCGCATGTCAGTACCTTTTAGTTTAAGTGCATTTGGGCATGCTTGCATTCATGATATTTGCATGTTTGTATTGCATCATATTTGCGTGTTTGGTATATTGCATGATGCCTAGCTAGTTGCATCACATAACATTGTTACGTACTTGGCATTTTCATCCTACATTAGTTTGAATTGCAGGCTTAGGTTGTAGTCCATTTGAGCATGTTTGTCATCTTAGCCTTGTGTACATGTTTTAGTCACATTACATTTTGGCATGCTCATCTTGCATTGCATTACGTTTCTATATCATGTTGTATTTGGCATACATACATTGCATTGTGTTTGGTTTGGGGTGTCAAACCAAACACGATGAGTGAGGGACGCTCGTACTTGAAGTGACGAAACGTGCCTCAATCCTTAGTCGTCGATGCTCTTGATTCAACATGATCGAGTGCATAGCATTCATTTATTTTGTACATGCATTCCATATTGATTCGCACACTTGGCAACTTTGACCATCATGCATTGAAATGCGTGGTTGATGGTCCGAGGGTCAAGGACCATACTCCCTTGAGTTCATAACATGATAGGGAGGGTGGTTGTGCACACATTGCCTTGAAAATGCATTGTTGTGCTCTGTTTGTCCTCTGCTGCAGTAAAACAGCATTCTGCAGAAGATATGGCCGGCCGGCCATCCATAGTGCCGATCGACTACAAATTTATGGCCGAGAGCCTTAAAAATGGTCGATGACCAATTCCACATGGCCAGTGTTCTCCCACCCTGGCCGGTGACATCCCACAACACCTAGAATGTGATTCAGAAGCATCCTTGGGACTTGTGCAGTCTTCAGAGGAGGAAAACAGTGCAAACAGAGGCAACATGTGGCATGGCAACGGATTTTAGAGCGAAACCGACCGAGCATGGATTTGTCCCTCTTCTCGAGGCCTCTTTACTGTTTTTTGTAGTTTAATTAATTTGCTTAATTAGTTAAGTGTTGTGTAATTAATTAATTAGCTTGTTAGTTAGTTAATTAGTTAATTTGTATTATTCTTTCGGACCCTCCGTCGAGAGGGCCAATTTTGTAATAAGTGTGCGTGAGTGTGTGCATGTCTTCCAACCTCTAGTTCTTTCTCCCTTTTATTTAACCGCTTACGATGGTTAGATTTAGGGCATTTTTCATCAGCATACCCTATGCTATGCATATTTGCATCATTCATATGTATTGCATGCACCGGGCTCGGCGCATCATACTAACTGCATCATATTTCAATTCCAACTTGAATACAGGTATCAATTGTTGCATCTCATATGCCATCCTAGAATAGCCGAGCCTATTTCTAGTTGCATTTTGCACGTGTTGCATTAGCCATCTTAGCATAGCTAGGATCATGCATTGATTTCTAACTAGCTATTGTTTTGGCTCGGAGTACTAGGTAAGCTTTTATGCTTTAGCATCTTGCACGAGTGTAAGTGTTGTCATGATTGCATGCTTACCATGAAGCTAATTGCTTATATGATATAACTGTCTGAATGCTTGTGGGTGAAGGTTGGATTACTTGAATTGGAATAATTCATTGAAATCCGTGTTTTAGCCTACTTGCGAGTAGCAAACTTCAAACCATTTCCAAACAAACGGATATGTGATGCTTTATTCCGAATTAGGCGATCTAGCCTATACTTGTGTGTTGTGCGCATCACATAGTAATTCTAGCTAATTAACCGGAATAAGAACACATATGTTTTCAAAACAAAACATCATGCTTAGTACAGGACGATCTTCGGATCTCGGGCGAGCATAGGTGCTCATAGATGACCTTCTCCAATCGTACCCAAGTTCCAGAGCCAAGGCAACTTTGGTGATGACGGACACGTGGCCTTAGGCAACGAGTCAGGGTTTCCTAAATTCCCCCAAAATAAATATTTAGGTGGCGACTCTGTATCTGGCAAAGCAGTCCATGTTTGGCACTTCTTTCTTAAAAATTTATTTTCCAAAAACGATTTGCCGGATTTGGACTCTTTGGTGATTTATCAGTCTTGCATTGCACTTTGCAAGATCAGATTAAGAATCGTGACAAATGAGTCTGAACTGTGGTAGCATAAGCCCTCGGGGGCGCGTCCACAGTGGTTAACTAGGCCATCTGAAGAAGTTTTGTCCTCGTAGAGCAAGGTCCACAAGAGTGACTAGATCTCGCCAGTCTTGAGGTTTTTAGATAGGCCATGGACAGAGATAGTCTTACCAACCAACCCAGTCAGGCTAGGCATTCAAGGCCGTATAGGGGACCACATCTTCGCAATCTGCATAGCGGACTTATGCCCATAGAGGTGATTTGGGAGATCAAAGGTCATGAAGAAGAGTGTATGATGTCACCACTTTAGAGCAGTCTTCAGGACCATCAGTTGTGAGAGGTACATGTCTCATTTTCAATACATGGGCTACTATATTGAGTGACACTGGGGCATCTCACTAGTTTATAGCAACTTTATTTGCATCGTTGTTGGGATTAGAAAGTAAACAACTAAAATCTTCACTCACTATAGAGTCTCCAGTTGGAGGTAAGGTCATTCTGACCCACGGATGTCAGGGGTGTGTAATTGAGGTCGCAGGATGACAACTTCCATTTAATTTCATATTGTTGGAAATGTCAGGTTTTGATGTTATTCTTGGCATGAACTGGTTGTATTCTTACTGGGCTATTATAGATTGTTATCGTGGGAAAGTTACAGTATGCACGTCAAGCAGTGATTGTTTCACATTTTTGGGGGATAGGAATGATAGGTCCTTTCTTTCGTCATACTACCCATGTGGCCAAGGTGAATTTAGTTCCCTTTTAGGAGACTTTTTAGATAATGAAAGTGGTACAGTCTAGAATGGGTTTCTGAGGGTTGTATATGAGTACTCCAATGTCTTTCCTGAAGATCTCACTGAATTACCTCCTCACCAGGAAGTTGAGTTCTCTATAGACTTAATACTAGGTACAACACCTATCCCCTTGTCGCCATATAAGTTCGCTCCAGCTGAATTAGTTGTTCTGAAAGAACAAATACAAGAGCTACTAAGTAAGGGCTTCATATGCCCTAGCACCTCACCTTGAAGAGCCTCAGCCTTGCTTACGAACAAGAAAGACGGGTTATTAAGATTGTGCATAGATTACCGTAAATTGAATGAAGTTAAGATTAAGAACAAATACCCTTTGCCTAGAATAGATGACGTTTTTGATCAACTCAAAGGTTCTCATTGTTTTTCCAAGATAGATTTAAGGTTAGGCTATCACCAGATTTGGGTTAGGGGGAAGGATATTCCCAAGACTGCTTTCCGTACCAGATATGGTCACTACAAGTTTCTGGTTATGCCCTTTGGTTTAACTAATGCACCAGTTATATTCATGGATTTAATGAACCAAATGTTTTGGGAATTTCTTGACAAATTTGTGGTCGTCTTTGTAGACGACATTCTTATCTATTCGCCTTTCGAAGAATAGCATGAAGGACATCTTCATACTGTCTTACAACTTCTTAAGGAGCATCGTCTGCATGTGAAATATGAAAAATGTGAGTTTTGGCTTCCAGAAATGAAGTTCTTGGGTCATGTAGTCTCCAGAGATGGGGTTATGGTGGATTCTTCAAAGATAGAAGCAGTACAGAACTGGGAACAACCCAAAAACACTTCTGAAATTCGTAGTTACTTGGGTTTAGCTGGTTATTACTGCCAATTTGTAAAGAATTTCCCTTCCATAGCATCATCCTTGATGAGATTAACTTGTAAGGGAGTAAAGTTCATTGGGAGTGAAGCTTGTGAGAAATCCTTACCGCCCCAATTCTTATCATTCCAGAACGTGGCTTGGGGTATATTGTGTATTGTGACGCCTCGAAGGAAGGATTCGGGTGTGTTTTAATGCAAGAAAGTAGAGTGGTAGCTTCTAGTTCACGCTAATTAAAAACTCATGAGAGGAACTACCCGACGCATGATCTTGAGCCCGCCGCAATGGTTTTTGCTTTGAAACTTTGGAGACATTATTCATACGGTGAGAAATTTGAAGTATTTTCTGATCATAAGACCCTTAAGTACATTTTCTCTCAAAAAGAATTGAACTTGCGTCAGTGAAGATGGATGGAGTTTTTGGAGGACTATGATTTTGAAATACTCTATCACCCCGGTAAGGCTCACGTCATAGCGGATGCTTTAAATAGAAAATCTGTGAGTACTATAGCCAGCTTAGCGGTGAGGGAATGGAAGATGATGAGGAATATCGGTGAATTTGATTTACAACTCCATGAGTCTTACAAACAAGCCATCCTACTTACCACCGTTGCACAACCCACCGTTGTTATGCGAGTGGCAAAAGCACAATTGGGTGATCCAGAGATGGATGCAATTCTAGAGAAAATTTCCAAAAGGAAAGAAGAGAGAGGCCTGAACATTTATACCGACTCTAGTGTTTGTTAATGCGACCGATTGTTTATGCCGAAATCCAAGAGAGATGAAATTTTGCGGGACTTTCATCACTTACATCTTGCAGTGTATCCGGAAGGCACCAAATGTATCATGATCTCAGCCGACAATTCTGGTGAGAGGATATGAAAAACGATGTAGTTTTATTTGTGTCCAATGTTTAACCTGTGAACAAGTTAAAGGTAAACATCAAAGACCTCCAGGATTATTACAACCTCTCCCAGTTGTTGAATGGAAATGGGAGCATGTTAATATGGACTTTGTTACAGGCCTTCCTAAAACACAGAGACGTAATGATGTGATATGGATGATTGTAGACAAACTTACAAAATCAACCGACTTTCTTTCCATGAGCATAGGGGATTCTATAGAGCTCCTAGCTAAACTTTACATTCGTGAAATTATTCGCCCCCATGGGGTTCTAATGAGTATAGTTTCTGATAGAGACCCTCACTTTACAACTAGGCTATCGTAGAGTCTTCAAAGTGCTTTGGGTACCCAACTAAATTTTAGTACTGCTTACTATCCTCAGACCGATTGGCAATCCGAGCGTACCATACAAATCTTGGAATACATGTTGAGAGCATGTGTGTTAGATTTCAAAGGGTCTCGGGAAAGACACTTACTATTCATCGAGTTTGCTTATGACAATAGTTAATAATCTAGTATTGAGATGGTGCCTTTCGAAGCTCTTTATAGACATCCTTGCAGATCACCATTATGTTGGGTGAAAGTAGGGGACTCACCAATGCTTGGGCACAAGTTAGTTCGTGAGACTATGGAGAAAGTAGCTCCTATTCAGAGAAGATTAATCACTGCCCAAAGCTGTCAAAAGCTATGCTGATCAGAGGCAACGACCGTTATCTTTTGAAGTAGGAGATCATGTGCTCTTGAAGATCTCTCTAAAGAAGGGATTGATGAGGTTTGGCAAGAGTGGAAAATTATCTCCTTAATTTATTGGCCCCTTTGACATTATTGAACAAGTAGGAGAAGTTGCGTATCGTCTTGCCTTACCGCCACATCTTGTCGGAGTGTATAATGTGTTTCTTTTGTCTATGCTTCACAAATTTGAACCCGATCCCTCTCACATGTTAGACTGGATGGAGATTGAAATTGATGAAGATGTATCTTATAAGGAACGACCAATCCAAATTTTGGATACCTGAGAGCAAGTGTTAAGGGGTAAGACAATTCCATTAGTCAAAGTTTTGTGGCACCATCACAGTGATGAAGAAGCAACATAGGAACGTGAAGCCGAGGTCTGCGAGAAATACCCGGACTTATTTCCAAATCTATGATGTAATTGTTTCCTTGCTCCTCCTTTGTATATGATAAATTGAATGTAACCCATAATTTTCTAAATTCTTCTTTGTCTTTGCTTTTGAATTGATCTATTGTCTAGTTGGGAGTTGATAAGGATTGATGAGTATATTGTTGTCGCCATATTTTGAGAGTGAATGCTATTTCGGGGGGTGAAATTCCCTAAGGAGAAGAAATTGTGACATTTTGTTCTAGGTGACTGCTTGAGCGGTGAAAGTACCTCTGTAGACGTCCCCGAACGTCCCGGGAAAATCCCGTTTTGTCCATTGGGCTCACTATAGTTCGGACTCAAATGTCACGGTTCTTAATCTGATCTCACAAAGTGCAATACGAGATTCATAAATCACCAAAGAGTCCAAATCCGGCAAATCGTTTTGAAAAACTGATTTTTAGAAAAAAGTGCCAAACATGGACTGCTTTGCCAGATACAGAGTCGCCACCTAAATATTTTATTTTGGGGTAATTTAGGAAATCCTGACTCGTGCCTAAGGCCACGTGTCCGTCATCACCAAAGTTGTCTCGGCTCGGGAACTTGGGTACGATTGGGGAAGGTCATCTATGAGCACCCATGCTCGCCCGATCAAAGATCGAGCACTACTAAACATGATATCTTGTTTTTGAAAACATTTGTGCTCTTATTCCGGTTTATTAGCCTAGAATTTCTACGTGACGCGCACAGCATACAAGTATAGACTGGATCGCCTAAGTTGGAACAAAACATCTCATGTTTGTTTTTTAAAGCGGTTTGCTACTCGTAAGTAGGCTAAAATGCGATTTTTGCCACCCTCAAGTGGGCTTAGAAAATATGGTGATTTGCCACTCTCAAGTGGGCTTAAAACTCGCAATCAATGAATTGTTCCAATTCAAATAATCC